TGTATAACCTGGTCCCATCTTTCTAGGGTCTGATTCTGCTTACATAGCAGAAAGAATGAAGCCTCCAACTCTTACGCAGCCCGGCTAATCATGGAAGTGTGTCCAGGCTTGAAGCAACTTGAGTTTTAATGTGTTTTTTCTTGTCAGAGTAATGTAAAATTTAAATGGGGAAAGATATTTACTATTTAATACTAAGCTTCAAAAAGAAATCTGCTATCATTGCTATGTATCTTGATGCAAAGACTGTGATGTTAATAAAAGAAAGTACAGAAGACACTTGACATTCAAAGAAAAAATGATTAGGAATCAGTTAGAGAAACAATGGCTTGATGACATTAAGAAATTATTGTTTTTAAAAGTGTGACATGCTATTACAATTAAGACTTTTTTCCCAATTTTTGTACATAAAATGAAATATTTTATAGGATTTGCTTTGAAATATTCCACAGGGAGAAAGAGATTGGAAGGTGTCAAAAAATGATATTGGTCTTATATTGAAAAGAACTGAAGCTGCTGATGGGCATATAGGGACGCATTGTACCATTCTCTCTATTTTTTATAGGTTTGCATTTTTCCATAACAAAAAAAAAATCCTCCAGAAATCTCACTCTTGGGGATCTACCCAGAGGAAAAGAAGTCATTATACAAAAAAGATACCTGCACACACGTTTATAGCAGAACAATTAGCAACTGCAAAAATATGGAACCAGCCAAAATGCCCATCAGTCAAGGAGTGGATAGAGAAACTGTGGTCTATATATACCATGGAATACTACTCAACCATGAAAGGAACAAAATAGTGGCATTCACAGCAACCGGGAGGGAACTGGAGGCCATTGTTCTAAGTGAAGTAACTGAGGAATGGAAACCCAAACATTGTATGCTCTCACTTATAAGTGGGAGTTAAGCTGTGAGGACGCAAAGACACAAGAATGATACAGGGGACTCTGGGGACTCTGGGGACTCTGGGGAAAGGGTGGGAGGGGTGTGAGGAGTAAAAGACTACAAATAGGGCACAGTGTACACTGCTTGGATGATGGGTGCACCCAAATCTCAGAAATCACCACTAAAGAACTTATTCATGTAGCCAAATACCACCTGTTCCACTAAAACGTATTGAAATATAAATAAATAAATAAATAAATAAATAAATTCGATTGTGGTTATGGCTATATAATTCTGTCAATGTACTAAAAATATTGAATGGCACACTTCGAGTGGGTGAAATAGATAATATATAAATTATATCTCAATAAAGCCATTAGAAAAAATCCTTGAGGGCAGGATTTGCCTTATTCCCCAGTACTTAATACATCATCCTCAGATGCAGTACGCATTCCATGATGAATGAATGAATTAGTGAATGAATGAATACAATGAAGCTCATAATAGACCCCTGTGGTGCCATCCCTGATGTGAACATCAAGAATTGAAGGTTTTAGGAAGTCAACAAGAGGTGATCGTGTGGCTATTGATGTCAAGACAGTGGATAAGCAGAGCAAAAATATAGTAATAACAAGCAAAGCTGGAAGAAAATTAGTTCTGGCTCAGACCCGTTATCTCCTGGGAATCTTTTTTTTTTTTTTTTTTTTTTGAGACGGAGTCTCGCTCTGTCGCCCAGGCTGGAGTGCAGTGGCCAGATCTCAGCTCACTGCAAGCTCCGCCTCCCAGGCTTACGCCATTCTCCGGCCTCAGCCTCCCGAGTAGCTGGGACTACAGGCGCCCGCCACCTCGCCCGGCTAGTTTTTTGTATTTTTTAGTAGAGACGAGGTTTCACCGTGCTAGCCAGGATGGTCTCGATCTCCTGACCTCGTGATCTGCCCATCTCGGCCTCCCAAAGTGCTGGGATTACAGGCTTTTATCTGCACTCAATCTGCAGGTCCTCTTGTGCCATCCCTGCCTCCAAGCCAGCTCAGGAAAGACAAAGCGTTTGATTCGCTAAGGCTTTGCAAACACTCTTTCTGTTGAGTACATATTAACTTTTCTGTTCACATTGCATGAAAGGGGAAAGTTCTATCGACTTTCCCAAAGAAGCAATCATTACATTGTAACTAGCCATTACAACTTAAAAGGTATTAGAGCCCGAATGAAAAAGCAATTATGACATTTAAAAATACCGTAACTCAAGCTCCTTGGAGGCCAGAACTCTGACTTGGGCGTCTCTGTTTTCTTGTGATGAGCACAGCGTCTGACACAACAGTTAAGTGTCCATAATGTGTGCTGGGCAAAAGAATGTGACCAGGAGAGGGCGGAGCATCGCTCCAATTTGCTCAGCCTTTTGCTAGAACCTCTATATATATCACTAGGCTTAACTTTCCTGTCAACCTTGAGCAGTAAGGAGGGCGAGGGAAGAAACTGAGGCCTGGGAGTGTCAGGCACAACAAAAGTGGTGGAACCTGCACCCAGGACACCCGCCCCAATTCCAGGACACCCGCCCCAATTCCAGAACACCTTCCCCAATTCCAGGACACCCGCCCCAATTCCAGGACACCTGTCACAATTCCAGGACACCGCCCACGTTCTTCTCCACACACGGATTTCCACATAACCCTAATGGAGGGCAGATTGTTTTCCTCTGTTGGTTTTTGCCAAGGGTGGACACTGAGCCAAGGGCAGCCTTATTCAGTCTGAGTTATTCCCAGAAATCCAGCCCATCACATCCCTCCCTGAGGAACGCAGTTTTTCAAGGGCCATTAGACCTGCCGAATCTCCCCCAGCTCCTCCAAAAGCTCACGGAAAGCATTCACTTTCAGGTGAGTTGGGGGCTGTGGGTGGGGCTAGATCCCCAGTTCCCCAGCTGACTTGTTGAACTTGCCACAAGTTAGATCATCATGCTACACACACCTACACACACACACACACACACACACACTCACGTGCCCACTGTGCAACAGGAGCTGTGCATATAGGCAACAATCTGGAGTGGTGCCGACTCACCCTGCCTCCATGGCCTCAAGCATGCTCTTGCCTCTGCTGAAACCCCCAAAATCCCTTTCCTGCCTCTCTCTTGCTCCATCTTCCAGTTTCAGTTCAGGTGCCACCTCCTCCAGGAAGCCTTCCAGGAACTTCTACCTTCCATGCCTCCTATAGGCTCCTCATTCACCCTTTGTGGTTCGCCTCTAACTGCCATCGTCCTTTCCTCACTGAGCCGTAATCAGCTCCCCGCATTTCCCTGCAATCACTGGTACTCTCCTTCCAGGCAGGGCCCAGGCTGCCAGTCCCTGTTGCCCTGACTGCTGAATATTCATTCAGTGAGTGAGTCAGTGAGTACATGAACGAGCGCCTCTCGGGGCCTCAGTGTTCCTGTCTGTCCAAGGCCCAGGTTGGACCAGGGCATCCTTTCTGCTCAAAAGCTCCATGGTTGTGGGCCCTCAGAGGAAGCCCCTGCTGCTGCTAGGTTCCAACTACACCCTCACCAGCAGGGCACAATGGAACCCCACCTAGAGAATGCGAACGTGGACAGACCACTGGACCCGAGACAGCTTGTCACCAGCCTGGCCATGCAGCACACACCACCCTGCGCAGATCTCTGCATGTCTGTCCCACGGGACCTGAGCCTCCCCAAGGGAGCCACTGCGTCTCTCTCATATTGTGTCCCCAGCGTACAATTCAAGTCCTGACATGTAGCAGAGGTTTTGTCTATGTTTGTTCAATGAATGAATGAGTGAATGAATGAAGGTTAAAGACAAGACAATGAAAGTGCAAACTTCAGCAAAACCAAGATATTCACCACAGCAGATTACCAGGCAAATGGGTAAATGGAGATGGTTGGTTCTCTGTCAATAAGTAAATCACAGGGAACAGACGCTTTCCTGGAGGCTGAGGCTGAGGCTGAGGCTGAGCTGATTGTTTCTTACGCAGATGAGGAAGCTCAAGTTCAGGAAGGTCCAGGGCTGCCCAAGGTCCCATGGAAAATCAGAGGCAGGACAAGGGGTTGTGATGATGGTCATTTCTGTCAGTTATTAACCCAAGCCTAGAGTGGACATGTGAGGCCAAGCACTTGTGGCAGAGAAAGCTAGGAACGGTCCAGTGTTAGGTCCCAGAGAGGCAGGAACATGCCTGTGCTCTAGGTAAGGCTGAAGCCCTAGAAGGAGGCCCCCCAAAGGTTAGCCCGTGAATGATTTGTTTTTTTCAACAAATACTGTTGAGCGAGCACTCTGTGCTGAGCGCTAGGAATGAACCATGCATGAGACAGAGTATCTGCTCTCACGGAGCTTGTCTTCTAGTGGAGAAACCAGACAAACATGTCCTATCATGCCAGATGGGCATCAGAAAAACCAGGCAGGGTGAGGGTGGCAAGGGCAGAGGTGGGGTCTCTCTGGGGAGGTGACCTTTGAGCCGACAACTGAGTGAAGGAAGGAAGTGAGCTGTGGAAAGGGTGAGGGCAAGGCTGCTCCGGGCAGCCAACAGCAAGAACACAGGTTCTGAGCAGGAAGAAGAAGCTTGGTAAGTTCTAGACTAGCAAGAAGGCCAGGATGGTTGGAGCAGAGGGAGGGAGGGAAAGGATGATCAGAAGGAGGTCAGAGGCCAGGCACGGTATCTCATGCCTGTAATCCCAACATTTTGGGAGGCCGAGGTGGGCAGATCTCCTGAGGTCAGGAGTTTGACCAGCCTGGACAATATGGTGAAACCATGTCTCTACTAGGAAATTACTTGAATCTGGGAGGTAGAGGTTGCAGTGAGCCTAGATCACGCCACTGCACTCCAGCCTGGGTGACAGAGCAAGACTGTCTCAAAAAAAAAAAAAGAGGAGGCGAGAAAGGTTAGCAGGGCCCTGTCATGTAGGGCCTCCTAAGGTGTGGTGAGAAACACAGGATTTCTCTTGGTTGCTATAGGGCCATTGGAAGTCTCTAGCAGGGAATGAACGCATCTGATTTTCCTGTTAAAAGGATCACAGTGGTTCCCTAAGTGGGGCCCAGGACCAGCTCAGACCCTTGCCAAAATGGATTCCATACTCCACGGAGGCCTGCTGAGTCAGACCACTGGAAGGGAGGCCCCAAGTCCGCTGCCACTCCTGGGGCTCTCTGTGCCGGCTCCTGGGCTGAGTGTGCTCTGTGCACACTTTGAATTTCTGTAGCCTTGTGATGTGGGGATTCTTAGCAGCATCCCACAGAGTGGAAGCCAAGGTCCTGAGAGGCAAGGCCACTTGCCTAAGGTTGCTGGGCTTATGTGAGCAGAGCCCTGGACTCCTTGCTGTACCATGAGGCACCTCCTGGCCCTCCTCTCCTTACAAGCTTCCTGCAAGTGTAAGTTCAGGGATAAGAAGTGGGGCTCAGATGGGCTAAGTGGATCGCCCAAGGTGGTAGATCTGGGCTGTGGTGCAGCCAGGATTCATAGAAGGGTCCTCTGGAGGCGGGGCTCTGACTTTGTCCAGAGATCCCCCATGTCTGTTTGTGAGCAGGAAGCTGTGGGTTGGGGAGGAGCGGACGGGAAGGGAGCCCCCAAGAGAGGCAAGGAGAGCCTTGAAGTATTTGCTGGGTGCCTAGCACAGGGCAGACACTTTGTGAATATCACACATTATCGTTATCATTACCATTGACGTTGTTGTCCTCTCTGCCACGCTGCTTTCAGACCAAGGACCCCAGAGGATGGAAGCCCCTTGGTGGTGGCCGCTGGTCACTGTGCTCATGGCTGGGGCTCATTGTGTGGCTCTGGTTGACCAAGAAGCTTCGGATCTCATCCATTCTGGCCCCCAGGACAGCAGCCCTGGGCCTGCCCTGCCCTGCCACAAAATCTCTGTGAGCAACATAGACTTTGCCTTCAAACTCTACAGACAGTTGGCTGTGAATGCCCCTGGAGAGAACATTCTCTTCTCCCCGGTGAGCATCTCCCTGGCCTTGGCCATGCTTTCTCGGGGGGCCCCAGGGGCCAGCAGGACCAAACTCCTGGAGGGCCTGGGGTTCAACCTCACTGTGGTGCCTGAGGCGGAGATCCAGGAGGGCTTCTGGGATCTGATGCTCAGACTCCCTGGGCAGGGTCCCCGGCTCCTCTTGACCATGGCCCAGCACAGGTTCAGTGGCCTGGGCACAAGGGCCAACCAGAGCCTAGAGGAGGCCCAAAAACACATTGACGAATACATAGAGAAGCAGACCCAGGGGAAGCTTGGGGCCTGGGAGAAGGACCTCAGCAGTGAAACCACAGCAGTTCTGGTGAATCACATGCTCCTCAGAGGTAAGAGCGTGTGTGCCCAGTGCAAACCTTCTTCCCAGAATCCCAGAACCCAGGCTCCAACCACACCCGAGCCCCACCCCTCACAGCAGCTGGAAAGTGTCCCCTCCTGACTTAGATATAGATGACACTCAGTGAGTGTCTGCCCCTGAGTTCTTGATGTCTCTTCTTGAATGCCTCCAGTAACACGGAACTCATCCCCTTCTCCATGTTAATGACACTGGAAGAGTTTGTTTTTAAAGAAGAGTTTTTCAAACTTAATGTGCATATGAACTTTCTAGAGACTTTGTTTAATGCAGGTATCTCGTACCTATCCGAAGTGATTCTGATTTCAGTGGGGTAAGTCCAAGACCCATGACCTTGCGTTTGAAGAAGCTCACCTCCCTTCCTCACACAGGTGATTCTGCTAACGGAAGACTACGAGCTCCCCTTTGAGTAACTCTAGAAGCCACCACTGTATTAAGGAACCTGAATTTCCTTCCTCTGGCAGGCCTTAGGAGACATGAATTACAGCAGGAAGAGTCCTAAATTTTTTTAAAAGTCCTTAATTTTTTCCAAGACAGTGAACAGGCTGCATGTCCCCACCATTGTGTGTGTTTAAACAATACAGTCATGACATTCAATCCACTGCTGTTAATGCCTGACTTAGTTTAATAGACCACATGATGCCATGGTGGCCATTTGGGGGCGGGCAGGGGATGCTTGTTGTTATCCCCTTGTTCTCATTCAGGACTCAGGAGGTGAACTCAGTCCTCACATTCGTACAGTGCTCTGTGGATCTCAAAGTGTGTGTACCCCACAATCTCTCTTGACTCTCACCTGGGTGAAACAGACCAGTCTTATCTTAGCAAATATGCCTAAGATCAATGTTCCCATGTTACAGATGAGAAAACAGATTTTTTAAAAAGAAAAAAGCTTATTTGCCTGAGCCAGTGAGGCATCACTCAAATATGCATCTATGACTGTTGATGGTGTTTATTTGTAGGCATGGTTACACATACACACACATATATTGACTACGAAGTTCTTATTAACATGCCGGCTCTGTGCATATTTAATTTTAATTCTCATCACAACCCGACAAGATAGATATTATCGTGTCCACTTGATGGATGAGAAACTGATGCAAAGTGGGGTAACTTGCCCTAGATTTCAAAGCCAGGCAGAACCCAGCCTTCAAATCCACACCTACCTTCAAGAAGCTTGTGCCACAGTGATACATTTTTTCTTAAAAATTAACCACCTCCAGGAGAGATTAAGGAGATGAGAGAGCATTTGTGTTTATGTGATTATAATCTTATTATACTATTGTAATAGTTTCTAATAGTATTGATCATTTTCAAATGAGGACAGAAGCTCAGGGAGGCTCCGGGCTCAGCCCCAGGGCCACACATGTACTAAGGGACCTCTCAGGAGTGAGTGATTGAGTGGGGCTTGGCTTCCTGAGTGTGGACTCCAAGATTCCAGCAGCCAAGGTGCTTTCCCCACTCCCACAAGCTGCCAGAAGGGTGACCCCAAGCCCGTTCTCGGTTCTCTGTGAGGATGACATTTGTGTTGCTCTTCCCCTCAGCTGAGTGGATGAAACCCTTTGACTCACGTGCCACCAGCCCAAAGGAGTTCTTTGTAGATGAGCACAGGGCTGTGTGGGTGCCCATGATGAAGGAGAAGGCCAGCCACCGCTTCCTGCACGACCCTGAGTTGCAATGCTCTGTGCTACAGATGGACCATGCTGGGAACACCACCACCTTCTTCATCTTCCCCAACAGGGGCAAGATGAGGCAGCTGGAAGATGCCTTGCTGCCCGAAACACTGATTAAATGGGACAGTCTGCTCAGGACCAGGTAGCCCGCACACAGCAGCGCCCCGGGAAGGCCGGGCCCCACCTTCTCCCTCAGCCACTGTAAAGTGTCCCCAGGGCACAGTCACCTCAAGGGCGTTATCACCCCAGGACACGGTCACCTCCAGGGCATGGTCACCCCAGGACACTGTCCCTGCTCAGAGCACTGTTATCCACCACGATGCTGTCACATCACCCAGGACATCTCACCTCCAGGACACTGTCATCCCTCAGGATATTGTCACCTTCCCAGAGTACTGTCACACCCCAGAACACTGTCGTTCCCCAGTCACTGTTATTTCTAGGACACTGTCACCCCACAGGTATTGTCACCCCTCCAAGACGCTATTGCCCTCAGGACACTATCACCTTCCACCCATGGCATCATCACCCCCAGAACACATTGTCATGGCACTGTCACCACTACAGTGCCATGACACAGTTACCCCCTGGGATGCTGTCACCTCCATGGTATTGTTCCCCTTCAGGGCTCTGTCACTCTCCAGGGCACTGTTATTGCCTCCTTGAAGATATCAGTTTGGGTTCTGGGGAGGAAGGACTGGAGAGAGCACTGGCCCAGAACTCTGGAGGCTGGTCCCAAGTCCCACCTCTGCTGCAGACACAGTGACTTGTCATGGGCTCCCTTGGCCCCTTACGCTGTTGAAGAGCCTGGTGCTCTGGCCTCTGCCAGTCTCAGCCTTCTCCCTCCTCGGCCTTTTCTTCTGTGTTCCCAACTCCCCCATGCTTATTCCTGGAACCTACTGAGTTCCCTGCAGTTTCCTGAACCTGCCAGGCTGTTCCTCAGCCCTGGGCTTTTGTGTGTGCAAATTCCTCGTCCTGACGTGCCCTTTCTTGACCCAGCCTTCTCTGGGATTCTTATTCTTTATTCATGGCATAGCAGAGCTATCACTTGCTCTGTGAAGGCTTGACGGATCCCCAGAACAGGCAAGGTGTGCCCGCTCTGGGTTCCTGGGAACATAATCGTATCACCTGCTATTATCACATGAGAATAACACTGTCCTTGGAGGGCTTCCATGTCAGTGTAGTTACAACCCCCTTCCCACACTGAGGTGAATTGGTGATGGTATGACTTTTAGAAAGCTCACACCCACTGCCCCTCTGAGAATGGGATGGAGCGGGTGTGTGGGGCAGAGGGACCCCAAGCAGGGAAGAAGGTGATAGGCTGTTTCAGGATCTTTACTGCAACCCAATTTCTGTCTCTCCACAGAGAACTCGATTTCCACTTCCCCAAATTTTCCATTTCTAGAACCTACAGACTGGAGATGCTCCTCCCACAAGTGACTGTGGGTGGAGGCTTCCCTGGAGAGCCTGGACTGAACATCTCTAAAGTAGGTTGGGGCCGGTGTGTTCAGAGGGCCTCTCAGTGTCTTTTGATGAACACTGGAGGGAGATGTCCAGGACCTCCTTAAAGACAGGAGATGCTATTTCTTTCAACTTTGCAAGTTGCTATTTGCTTCCTTGCGTTGATTCTGCGACTGCCACCTGCTTTGTCAAGACACTGGGGATCTCAAAGGAAATAAGGAAAGGGAAGGCAGATATGCAAATTTTGTCCCCAGGTTGGAAGTGCAGAGGACACTTCCTGGGGAGACCATTCCTGCTTTTAGACCTAAAGTACAAGTTACTTTAAAAAAAAAAAAAAAAAGGTGGGGGAACTGACAGGGAACATGGGGAACAGCTTGGTCCTCAGGGAACTGAAGATTTCCCAGTCTTCCATGATCTAGTCATCACCCTCCTGTGCAGACTATGTTTCCTACTATTCACAGCATCCTGCTCAACTGAACTTCACGGTATCCTACATGCCCCCACAGTTTTCACCTTCTGACTTCGGCTCAGACTTTTTTTTTTTTTTTTCCGAGACAGAGTCTCGCTCTGTCGCCCAGGCTGGAGTGCAGTGGCACGGTCTCGGCTCACTGCAAGCTCCGCCCCCTGGGTTCATGCCATTATCCTGCCTCAGCCTCCCGAGTAGCTGGGACTACAGGTGCCCGCCACCATGCCCGGCTAATTTTTTTTTTTTTTTTTTTTTTTGGATTTTTAGTAGAGACAGGGTTTCACCGTGTTAGCCAGGATGGTCTCAATCTCCTGACCTCATGATCCGCCCGTCTCGGTCTCCCAAAGTGCTGGGATTACAGGCGTGAGCCACCGCGCCCAGCCCAGACTTTTGAATTTCAAACCACCCAAAATGTTCTCCCCCATCTCTGAATATTCAAGTTATATCAATTCTTCAAGGCCTTGCACAAATGTTACCTCCTCCATGAAGGTTTCTCTGTTGTTATCCTTCACCCCCACACTCAAAGCAGAAAGAAATCTCTCCTGATAACTTCCCACTCTTGCTTTCTTTACCTGTCTTATCTTCCCGATCAAATGATGAGCTTTTTTAAAGTCAGTCAAATCCATGTTTCTATCCTTACCATCCCCGGCACAGTGGAGTACACAGCATCGGTACTCAATAAATGCACACGGAATAAACTCATGAATAAACGAGTGATTGAATAAGTGAAGATAAATTAGCAAAATGAAGTGAATGAAAGATTAAGTCAATAATGATTGGGTGAAAGAGTGGTTGGATGAATGCATGAATGAATGGATGGAGAAATGGGTGAATGGACAGATAGATGCTGGTGTGATATTCAAAATATACCGCAACCAGTAAAGTGCAGATGCCAGCCATAAAAATGGATATAGATGAGGAGACTGGTGATTGGATGAATGAATAGGTGAATAGTGAATAGCTGGAATCACGGATAGAAAGAGCATGGGTAGCAGGGTGCATGGATGATGCGTGGATGGGTGGGTAAGTGAGTGGTGCATGGGCAGGTATATGAATACATAAGTGGTGCATGCAGAGGTAAGTAGATGGTTGAGAGGTGTGGAGTATGGTTGGCTGGCTGGCTGGTTGAATGGATCAGTGATGGATGGACAACAGTCAGGCAGAAGTATGTAAGAGTAGTAGATGGATAGTGAATTTTTTAAAGGGTAGATAGAAGAATCACTGACTGGGTAAGTGAGTAGATGGATACATATGGGGTTAAGTAACAGAACAGAAAAAAATTGGTCCCAACATAAAGGCCTGGTTTGTCCTTCCTATGGGATGGCTTGATGATTCTAGAATTTTCCTTGCAGGTCACTCATAAGGCCATGATGACTCTGGATGAGAAGGGCTCTGAAGCTGCTGCAGCCACCAGCATTCAGCTTACCCCCAGGCCTCACCCAGACCTTGACCTCTCCCCCACTCCAGGCACTGAGTTCAGTCGGCCCTTCCTGGTGATGACTTTCCACATGGAAACGGGAAGCATGCTTTTTCTGGGGAAGATTGTAAATCCACTGGGATAATGCCCCCTCAGACATGCTGGGTGACTCAGAGGGAACAGAATGGCCCACACAGCAGGGAGCTTCTATTATAGACTCCAGTTAAATGAAAAGTTGCATATACCTGGGTTTTTTTGCTTGGTTTTCACAGGAACCCATGGGGGTAAGGTGATCAAGGCTGTTCTCCCTGCACACAGGCAGTAATTACCATTGAGCAAACACCCACTATGTACCAAATGCTTTCTATCTCTTATCTCATTTTTAAATGAATTATCACAACAATCCAACAAAATAAGTATTTGGTTGAACCATATGAAATTGTTTATATTTGGATTGTACCTATATTTTGTAAATATTTTTAAAAAGGCAACTTCTAATGATTCAATCCTTCTCATAGCTGAGGATCAGAGAATTTCAGAGACATGCTCCAGCTCACTGAGCTAGAAAGCAGGTGAGCTGCTTTCCAGTCTTATCCATTTTGCTAAATTAATGAATCTCAAACTTTACTGTATGCACAAATTCCCTGTGGGTCTTTTTAGAAAGCAAATTTTGATTCAACAGGTCTGGGATGGGGCCTGAGGTCCCATATTTCTCACAAGGTCCCAGTGATGCTGAGGTTACTGGCGGGGTGTCTACATGTTGAGCACCAGGTTGCTAAACGCACTTGCTCCCATGATCCCCAAAGAGGTTAAGTTAGTGTGACCAGCAGGGCAGGGGAGTGGCATTGGCCCCTTAATTCATGTGTGGGGCTGAGAAAAATATGAGCAACACCTTTTTGCAGCCTACAGATAAAGCCTGCTTTAGGGCCACCTATTAATGAGTAGAATGGGAAAAATGAGTGTCCTAAAGATTTTTTTGCCCAGTCTAGACACACAGTGGGTATTTGTAACTGTCTGTACCCACTGTATTAGTCTGTTCTTATGCTGCTAATAAAGACATACCCAAGAGCAGGTAATTTGTTTTTTTTAAATAAAAGGTTTAATGGACTCACAGTTCCACATGACTGGGGAAGCCTCATGATCATGGTGGAAGGTGAAAGAGGAGAAAGGCATGTCTTACATGGCGGCAGGCAAGAGTGCATGTGCAGGGGAACTGCCCATTATGACGCTGTCAGATCTCATGAGACTTATTTACTATCATGAGAACAGCATGAGAAAAACCCACCCCCATGATTCAATTACCTCCCACCAGGTCCCTCCCATGACTCATGGGGATTATTACAATTCAAGGTGAGATTTGGGTGGGGACACAGAGCCAAACCATATCATCCTCCATGTAAGTTACTGCAACTGTGACTTTGGCTGTCAGGTGGCTCATGTTCCTGGATTTCCAACTGCATGAAAGAAAGGACCCATACAGGCTTTAGGGCCAGGCACATCTGAGACCAAATCTTACATCTGGTGCAAAGCAGGTTCACTGTGCACTGGTGACCAACTTGCCTGAGTCCAGTGAGACCCACATACGAGTTACATGAAGTGGGCTTATTACTGACAGATGGGCAGCAAAGGATAACAGAAGCCTAGGATTCCTTGCAAGCTGGGTCCCCAAGGCTCAGGAAAGCTGCCTGGGATACACGGGATCTCATCTGTGTGTGCTCCATTTGCAGAGCAGCTGAGGAACCCCAGAAGGCAGCCTTCCCTGGGTGTCTTAGTCTGTTTGTGTTGCTATACGGGAATACCTGAGGTTGGGTAATTTATAAAGAAAAGAAGTTTATTTGACTGACAATTCTGCAGGCTGTACAAGAAGTATGGCATCAGCATCCACTTCTGGTTGGGGCATCAGGCTGCTTCCACTCATGGTGGAAGACAAGGGAAGCCATCATGTGCAGAGATCTCATGGTGGGAGAGCAGAAGCAAGTGAGAGGGGAGGGAGGCACCAGGCTCTTTTTTTCTTTTTTTCGATACAGTCTCACTCTGTTGCCCAGGTTGGAGTGCAGTAGCGTGATCACAGTTCACTTCAGACTCAATCTCCTAGGCTTAAACAATCCTCACACCTCAGCCTCCTGGGTAGCTAGGACTACAGGCACATACCACCATGCCTGGCTAATTTTTTATGGCATTTTACCATGTTGGCCAGGCTACACTAGGCTCTTTTTAACATCAGTGCTCTCAGAAACTGAGTGAGAACTCACTTATTTCCACAAAAATGGCACCAAGCCATTCATGAAGGATCCACCCCCATGGTCCAAACAGGATCCCAGCAGGCCCTACCTCTAGCACTGGGAATCGAATCTCGATATGAGACAAGGCGGGGCCAAAGAAACCATATCCAATCTGTAGCACTGGGTTTTACACCCAGGGGCAACGTGACTTGTTGGACTGAAGTGTTGAAGGATACCATGTTTCTAGGGAGGATGGGAACTGAGCCTGGGCTCTTCCGGCCAGTCCTTCCCTATCTCAGGATATTGCATTCCCAGCCCATGCTACAGTTATTCTTGAGAACTACAAATGAGAAAGAAGTGGGGGCGAACTGGATCATCCAAGGCCACCTGGAGAACTGCCCTGCACCTGGCCCTCACTAGACGCCCATCCTAGAGTTGTACCAAGGACAGCAGGCGGGCAAAAGGAGCCATGCTGAGTGCTGGTCAAGGAGCCAGGCCTGCATGAGCCCGCCTAACCTTCATTTTCCATTCTACATTTTTGCAAGAAATAAAAATTGTTTTTTTTTTTTCTCTTCTTCAGTGAGCAGGTGCCCACAAAGCACCAATGAGTCAATAAAATTAGCCTCCCCCAGAAGGGGGCAGCCCTGGAGTCACTGGGGGTAATACCCCTGAGAAGGTGGAGTGAGCAGCCCTAATGTACAAGAAAACAGGTGTCTTACCTTTTGTTTTATGAGAGTTTCCAATGAAAGGATCCTAAACTCAAATGCCTGTTGGGCCAGGTGGGCAGTAAGCAGTGATCAGAAACAGAAAACCACAGCACAAGTTCAGTCATGACCTGGGCCTCTGTGAGGGAACGAAGTACTGGTAACTCAATCCCTCTCCTCCTCCCTTCCTCACCTAAGGGACTCTGTCCCCTCTGTCTCTCCAATCTGGCCAACCCCACGGTCCCCATTCAGACTCTGAATGATGATCTGGTTCAGTGCCCTGGCATGAGCCCAGGTGCCCACAATACCAAAGCCAGGAGGGGGCTGTTAGCTGTCTGACAATGTGACTTTCAGTCCTGTGATCCCAAATTCCTGAAACGAGGAAGCTCAAAGGCTGGCCCACTTCCTGGGACAAGCAAGCACACCGGCAGCACAGGCAACATCGGAACAGGAGATGCTGCCGCACACAGGAGCGCCAACGCCATCCCTGTCCTCAAGGAGCCCGTGGCAGACGGGGAGGATTGTGCTATGCACAACCAGTCAGAATGCAAGGCAATTACAGCTGTGACAGAGGGGCCCAGAGGACAGATTTCGATTCACAAAGGATGAAGGAAGCAGGGTAGCATGCCAGAAAGACCCCAGCAGTGGGGGGTACCAGGTGCAACTGGATGCCACCACGAGCCATGTGAACGTGAGGAGGTCACTTTCTCTCTCTCAGCCGCAGTCCCCCATCTGTGAAATGGAAGCCATCATAAGGCTGCCACCTGCCAGATGCTGTTACAGAAGGTGACACGTACTCATGCAGCCCTCATGGCAACTCGACGTGGGGGCTCCTTGCATTCGACAATTGAGGAAACAGGGACTGAGAGGCTAAGAAATTTCCTCTTCCAAGTCCCCTGCATGGAAGTGATGTCTCCCTCCCAAATCTCACAGGACCCTCCACACCCTCTTCTGAGCCCTGAGCCCTCTCTGTCATGCATTTTGGTTTTAATGTCTGCCCTTCATGCCTGCAGCAGATCGAACCATGTCTGAGCCAACTCTGGATCTTTTAGGCTCCAAGGCGGTGGGTGATCAGGGCCTGGCTGGCTGGAACACCATCAGACCTGGGTTGTTCTAATAATAGAGAAGAGAAGAGAGATGGGTGGAGAAAAGGAAAGGAACGATAAGACACACAGAGACACACACACACACAGACACAGACACACACAGACATACACACAGACAGACATACACAGAGACACAGACACAGACACACACACAGAAACACATACAGAGAGACACTCACAGGAACACACACACAGAGACAGACACACACAGACATACACACAGACAGACACACACAGAGACATATAGACACACACAGAGACACACACACAGAGATACACACACAGAGACACAGACACACACACAGACACACAGACATACACACACAGAGGCACACACAGACACAGACATACACATAGACACACACACACATACAGACACATAGACACAGAGACAGACACACACACACAGACATACACACAGTCACACAGACACAGACACACACAGAGACACAGACACACACAGACACACACAGAGACACAGACACACACAGAGACACACAGAGGCACACACAGACACAGACATACACATAGACACAGACATACACACAGACAGACATACACAGAGACACAGAGATACAGACACACACAGAGGCACAGCCACAGACACAGACATACATAGACACAGACACACACACAGACACACACAGAGGCACACGCAGACACAGACATACACATAGACACAGACACACACACAAACACAGACATACACATAGACACAGACACACACAGAGACAGACATACACAGAGACAGACACACACACAGAGACAGACATACACATAGACACAGACACACACACAGAGACAGACATACACATAGACACAGACACACACAGAGACAGACATACACATAGACACAGACACACACACAGAGACAGACATACACAGAGACACAGACACACACAGAGGCACACACAGACACAGACATACACATAGACACAGACATGGCCACAGAGACAGACATACACAGAGACACAGACACACAGACACACACACAGACACAGACATACACATAGACACAGACATACACACAGAGACAGACATACACATAGACACAGACACACAGACACACACACAGAGACACAGACACACACACAAAGGCAGACATACACAGAGACACAGACACACACACAGACATAGACACATGCACACAGAGACACAGACACACACACAGAGACATAGACACACAGACACACACACACAGAGACACAGACACAGACACACACACAGAGACACAGACACACACACAGACACACACAGGCGCACACAGAGGCACACACAGACACAGACATACACACCCAGAGACACAAACACAGAGACACAGACATACACATAGGCACATAGACACACACACACAGACACACACAGAGACACAGACACA